ATCGAGAATGAGTGATATCTATAGTAATCATATGTATATAAGAGAAGGAAGAGAACGAACATATGGAAAAGACCCTATGTCATGAGTCATCTTATGGTACGTCATATTACGTGCCATAACAGCTTTGAAGAAAATTAGTTCTGTAAACCAAACATTTATCTCTAATATATTTTGATTTTTAATTAAAAATCTCATTTCCTTTGGATAACTACATTTTATTTCATTAAAAATACATTCATTCATTAAAACCCACCAGAATCTCATTGTTATATATCGCTCAGCAAATCATTGTTTACAGTGGAATCGTTTTTCTATATCGTCACACACCGACGTCATTCTATTTTCTAATCGAATCATTCTTTAAAAACATTTATTTACTTGTCAATCTTGTACCTAGAATTATCACTTTTAACTATGGATATTATGTACCTTTGATCAATATTTAGTTACATCAACTAAAGTTTCACTGCGTCAATTGAGTCAAATTAAAATCTCGTATCGAATTTTGTTGATCATTATCATTTTCTGGAGTTTACATGCAGTTCCATTTTGGAATCTCTTCAATCACGAAAACATGCGTTAGTTTGAATGCAGAACTTACTATTTATATTCCAATCTTTTTTCTCACGAGATTTTTTTATTATTCCAGTAATGATTATAATAATATTTGGGAGTTTAACTTATCGAAACATTCGTGGAACAATCGTTCTTGCTGAACAACAAGCGGATCGACGATTGATCCGAATGATATTCTCACAAGTAATTCTTCTTTTTATTGATACTATTTTACTAGGTGGGTATCAGACATACAATACAATTACATCTGGAATGATGAAAAATCAAGATCGGCTTTTGAAAGAATATCTTGCTTACGCGATTATTAGCACTATGGCAACGTTTTATCATGTTATATGCTGATTTGCATTGCGATAAGATCTGTATGAATGTTTGCTTTTGTTTCATTATTTTTAGCCAAGTTTTTTATATATTCTTATTTTCATCAAGTCGATTTCGTTGTTCCAACGATACAAACTAGATAACTGAAAATTTCAACATCTAACTTTGTAGTGTAGTGTGTTTGTTTCATCATGACTAAATAACAAATGTACAAGATTTAATTTTCAGTATAAAGAAAAGATGAGAACGATAAGCAGAATAAAATCCACATGCTCACCATTATCTTGCAGTATTATTCGTCACATGGGTGGGTTTAACAGTGTTTCGTCGTCGTTTGTGTAATCGGAATAGTCCTTGTATCCATTTTTTCAGTTCAGGAAGTATTCCAATACATACCAATGGCATGAAAAGACACACGAGGTAGATGAAATCGACGATATATTTCGATTGAATTTCCGCAGCTAATTGTGATTGATGGATTTGTTGAATCACTGCAATCGATGTGATTGGCATCCATCCAATAAAATATAAAGCGGCAACGCTAAGCAATTGTATAGTCATGCGTCTCTGCTTTCGCCATGTCACTCTCTGTTGTAAACGACGTTTCTGACGAATAATTCGTATGATAAGCATAACATTAGCTAAAATAATAATTACTATTGGTATACCGGTGTGCATTGCCCAATCGAAGATTGCGAACGCATTGCTATCTAATAGGTAACAATTGGCGTAACCACAAACTAATGCTGAAAAGTTCCATTGTGTTCCATCGCAAGGATAAATAACGACAAGACCGAAATAGAGAATCGCTGGATAGGCAACACCGAAGAATAGTGGAATGTCATGAAATAGAATACGTTTCACACGAATGCGTAGTAGATTCCTATTTAATATGAAGATATGACGTTGAACAGATATTATAACCATCAAGATTTCGCTGGACACATTGAGAGTATATTGTAAGAATGTCCAGAAAGTACAATAAGCTGCAGATGCTGGAAGTACACGATTAGAACGATAGAAATGAATGGTTAGTGGTAAGATACATGCTGCTACCAAGAAATTGATAAGCAATAGGATGATCGGACCTCGATTTATGAGAGCGGTTAGCTGAGGACGATGTGTAGCCAAGAATATAAAGATGAGCAGATAGAGTAGAATCGATGGTATGTGTAAAGTAAGTAATAAATAAAATTTTATACGATGGAGAACGTTTGCACTATCATCCGATATGTTCATATTTTTACTAACGAGCAAGTTAAATGAATCAGTTCTCAGTCATTTTTCTTAGAAAAACAAAGTGCTGTCAATTAGCGTATTTCTTTTGTTTGTTAACAACTCTTTCGAAATGATTCTATTCACAAAATAATGAAGGATACGGTCTTTTATGCATCGGATCTCTCATTAGAGAAAAGAAAAATTATTTAGACCAAACAACCTGCTAATTAACCGAAGTATGCTTAAAAGAAAGAAAGAATGCAGATGTGGTGTAAAGGAAGAATAGATATTCATAGTCACAGACATATCCTCAAACTCTCTTCTATAGATACTTTATCATTTGCAGCGTCAGTCTACAAGAAATCGTATTTTCCATCTCTCTTGTTGACTTGAACTTGACATTCCATTTTTGTCATTTCGTAATGAGGTGTATTTTTAATTGTAAAATGCAAACAGCCTTCTCAAGCTTCAAAAAAACACTCGGACTTTCAAAGAGGAATTAGCAGATTTCTATAAGACCGAGTTACAGAACCAGCAAGAGGAACAAACGTGATTCTATCACGCCTGGATAAACCAATATCTTTTTCTCGAAGCATCACATAAAAGCAGAATACAAAATATTTCATACTGATTGGTTTCCCTATGTTTAAGTTAGATGGATGAGAATGGAGAGATAAAATCGGAAACCATCATTAAGATATCATTTTTTAGAATTTGTATGCAAACAGATGTTGAATTGTTTGATAGACGTTCCAATCATCGAGAATTCTACCGATTTTCTGATCCTTGTCATGTTTGAGCTGAAAAATACAACAAATATGTATATCTTTTCAAGTGTTGTCACATATCGTCACACACCGACGTCATTCTATTTTCTAATCGAATCATTCTTTAAAAACATTTATTTACTTGTCAATTTTGTACCTCGAATTATCACTTTTACCTATGGATATTATGTACCATTGATCAATATTTAGTTACATCAACTAAAGCTTCACTGCGTCAATTGAGTCAAATTAAAATTTCATATCGAATTTTGTTGATCATTATCATCTTCTGAAATGGTGATAGATCAGGATTGGCTTTTGAAAGAATATCTTGCTTATGTGATTGTATGCACTATGACAACATGCTGTGTGTTGATTTGTTCCGTTATTTCTAATCAAACTCTTATGTAAATTCTCATTTTCATCAAGTCGATTTCGTCGAACAGTCAAAGATCGCTTATTCAAACGACGAAATAGAAACTTTGTTGCTCCAACGATGTGCAAACTAGATAACTGAAAATTTTAACATCTAAATTTGTGGTGTAGTGTGTTTGTTTCATCATGAATAAATATAAACTATCAGAGGATGGGAGTGGTAAAGAAGAAGAAACTGACATTCCTACATCTTTGATACTTTTTGGCAACGTTATGATTTCATTTGATTTGAAGTAAAGTGTATTATTTACTTTACAAGTTGATGGTCAGATACAGTTAACGAAACATTTTATTGTGTGATTGAAACAGAATATTTAAAATGGTATTAATGAAGCGGTGGAACAATGAGGTGTAGTTGTAAGTCGTTTAATGATAGAAGGAACTGGATAGTTAAATGCTTGGAAATCCTTCAGAAAATATTCAATTAAAATCTGTACATGATTCTCATTTTTTAACGTATTTCGAAACACTTGGAGTATATCGTCATCTGTCATAGTTATTCCTTCTCTATCATCAAGTTGTCGTGATGGAAATGTAAGACGATGTGAAATTCTTAACTGATCAAGTATCTTTGGACCATCGTACTCCATATTTTCAACTTTGCCGACAAAATCATATTTGATTGAGCATATACCACATAACTTGTAAATAGAATCAAAATGATTATCCAATTCGAAACCGTGTGAAATCGAATGAACGATATATTGCAAGAACGTACGAAAATCTAGAAGATCATCGTTGGATTTATTCATTTGTTTCAAAATTAGACGACGCATATCCACCCAATATGTTGATTTTGAATCACGACTTGTATTGTTAAATTTATCGTGATAAACCGAATAGATTCGTCGTAGAGGTTGTCGCACAAACAGAAACTTGAAGAGGCGTTTCTCAGTAATAAGATTTGACAATGTTTTAGGAGTATTAATGACAGTAAAATTTTCGAGAGTTGGATATAGTTTACTCCAAACATCAAAACGATCGAATTGATGCATCCACTTTGCATTTTCTTGAACACTGTGGTTTGTATTGAAGAGACTTGCATGAAAAATGCGAATCAGGTTTGTAGTACCGGTTTTTGGCGCAAGACACACCAATGTATTCAATTTCGAACTTTGTATAATTAATCCCTTGTAGAAAGTAACATTTTCTTGGTGTTTGTTACAGAATTCTTCCATTGCTGTCTTAGCAGATGTTGATGATTGCAGTAATTGAGGTAAAATTCGATAATAACGGAGTAAACCCAAGGAGAACATAAGAACGGTACTACAGAAGAAATGAATAGGAAAACGCATAGTTCGTCTAGAAATAAACTTAAGTTATTGATTTACGTGTGTTATATGTCAATGCAGTTGCGATCTCTACGTGTCAAAGAGATTCATGTAAGAGAATCAATAGAACAATTCGGTTTTAATTTTGAGGTGAAGATGATAAGAAAAATAACATCCTCACCCTCAAGATGGTTATTTAATTCTTTAGCGTTCGAAAACGCACAAATGAGTTCAAATACAATCTCATATTCTCATCTTTGTCGATATCTCGCTATTCACACATACCACAACATACTCGTATCTTTATCACTCAACATGAATATTAGTAGGAAGATTTTTTATGAAAGAAATATATGCACTGTTTAACATACACTTTTGTGTATTTCTTTCTCTAAGAAATCACATAATTCTGATACAAAACGTGTTTATTTATTCGCCCATCAAGAAGAAAAAAGCAAGGTCAATGAAAATTGCATAAAAATACACTGGAATAAGGACATTTAGAGAATGAATCACTAAATAAGAAGAATCGAAAGGGTAAATAGCATGTGCATAGTGTATATAAGCGAAAACGTCACAATTAACTGTCAATGGCGAACCAACAGTGCGTGACTCAATGATTTGATTAAACACAATACTGGTAAATGTTGAAAGTAATATTTTTCTGCATTCTAAGTACAGTCTTGATAATAAGAATACCCATTTGTCACCCTCAAATTTCAATGATGATGAATAAGGTAAGGAAAAATAAGTATTTTGATTTTATACAATTACGAGAAAAGTACATTCAAAAAACAATTTCATAACGATGAAAATTTTCACAAACCAATTTTGAATGAAGTACAAATCGTAGTAGATGTCAAAACAATCCATCGAATTGTAAACAAATTTGTTGAAACAATGGTTCGAAAGTAATCTCGACACGTATAATAAAATTGTCCATTGAATTCATTGAAAAGATAATTATTTATGATGATATTTAGCAAAATGATTCTCATATATTTTTCAAAAACTCCATCCTCTTAGATCTTTTCAGGAGCATCATAATTAGATTGCTTTCACGCAGAAGAATATTTGTAAAATCATAAATAAAATGGTTATCTTTGATTTATAACATATACACATCATGTTTATTAGAAGGAAATATATTCTATAAGATTACAGATACACGTGAAGTAAATCGACAAACAAACGATATTTTCTGTTCGATATTTTATTTATTATATCATATTTAATTCGTTTTCAAAGCGCGACAAGAAACGCTTGATTAAATACAATACTGAGAGTGCTTGACAATCAAACCTTATACAGAATTTAAAAGCCTATGATATTTTTCATTCTGTGCATAACTAAATAATAAAATACGGAGAAATTAGAAATTAATATAACTTAGACCAATCATAAACCGATAGGAAAATGTCATTAAAATTACAACGAATTTGATTTCATCGAGAAAATGATTATGACATAGTAAAACATCGTTTTTATATAAATTTCGCCTAAATTTGCATGTATCAACTTGTAGATCAATCTTGAATAATCGCTAATCTATTAGAATTTTTGATAAATATGATATATTTCAATATACACCTGTGAGTAACAACGACGATTTTTGAATGAACCAGTTATCTTTGATGTACAAATAAAATATATGCAAGATTTACATCTGTATGGGATACAATTTCTATGTTCATTAATGATTCAAAACATATATTTTCGAATTTGTTTGAAGCTGAAAAGAATGATAAAATAGTGAATCTATATGGTTTAATGAACAATATATTTCATCAATATATAATTTGATCTTTAATAAAGTTTTACTTAATCAATTAATTCATTGTATTGTCTATAATTTAGAATCAAGAATTTCAAATGACTAATAAGAAAAACATTATGTATACATGTCATACGATGTACTTTTCATTTTCATCTGAAGACAATTTATGACATCGATATTCATTACTCAACAAGTTTTATGTGTTTCTTTTTGTATCTTGAAAACATTAAATTGAACTAACCGAAACGAATACATGCAAGATAACGAAAATCAATCTTTTTTTCAGATGTTTACGCAGCGACTGAGCTGATCTGCAGAAACAAAAAGTATCGAAAGATGGATTTTTCCCTCTTATCTTTCTTTTCATTTGAAGTTCGAAGAAAACTTTTCATCTAATGTAAGTTTTATGTGATGAAGATAGACAAACTTTGAAAATTTAGTTTTCATGTGTATTTTAAACTTCTAAGAAAAAAAGGAAAAACTTCTGTTTGATTTATTTACTCAATTTTCAATGTTTAATTTTCATTGTTCACCAACAGTTCTTTTGAATTAAATCCCGAAGGAAAAAAATGGAAATTTTGTGTCAAAAATTCGTTTCGATTCATCTTTTGAATATATAAAATGTATTGAACATCACGTTTCAAGAATATTCGTGCGATAAAAGAGAGGAAATTGTTCTCTTTAGTCATATTTTCATCCTCATTCTTAATAAACACAACAGTTAGTTGATAAATGTTCACAAGAGAAGGTAATTGTTATAAGTGTAATCATGTATTAACGAAAGAAGACACACTAGTCTATATCAACTTGCACGTATATTTGAAGATCATATAGATAAAGAAATGCTGCTAATCTTATTTCTTGTGATACGTTAAACGATATAGATAATAGAAATTTGGAGAAATGCCTTCATTTATTAATATGACCAAAGATTTTGTGCTATTTATTATAATTCAAACTGCTAATGAAATATTTAAAAAACAATTCTTTTGAGACTTTATCACGTTCTTATCTTCATTAAAAAGAAATCTATTTTAGCCGCGTTATATAGTTGCAAGTAAAAACCTTGTAGCAAGTTAATTAAGAGTTTCGATCATTGGTAGTTCTCTGAAATTGAGAATGTGCATGCGTTTGATGTGTTACCCAGTTGATGTGCATCATTGAAAAGAAGAAGAAGAAGAATATAACAGATGGTTCAGATTAAATGAACTTTTCAGTGTTTTCACAACAACTTATCCATTTCGTACTTAAACGAGTTAATCATTTCTTCAAAAGATGTGTCATGAAATTCTCTACAAACGTGTCTAGATTGTTTTTCTATTTCCATTCACAGTAAATTTTTAGAACAGAAGAAAGTGAAAACTTGGAAAAAATAATTCTTTTTATCGAATGTATCAGACTCAGTAACAATCTCTGTAATTTTTTTCATTTTTCATACTATCCAGATATGTTTGTCTTTAAAAGATACACAATAAAAATTCTCGATTATAAGCACAAAATGGATAAGTTGTTGCGAAAACATTGAAATGTCCATTTAATCTGAGTCATCCGTTATTTAAAACTCTTTCTAATTGAAATATCAAAAATAAAATGATAAATAATCTGAACAAAGCATCTTTGATATTTGTTTGGCAATACAACACATTTTATATGTAATTATAAAATACTCTAAAGGATGTCTGTTTTTGTCACTCGTGGTGTTTTATGATTATTTTAAGTCTATTCATTAATGTTACTATTCAGAAACATTTTACATCTTTGCATTTTAAAATATGTTAGTACGTATATATTCTGTTCATTGCATTTAATCTTTTCACAGTAGTAAGTTCTTTATTTTACCAAAAAAGACAATGTCTTCTCTGTATTCGAACGATACTTTAATTTCAATTTTAAACAATGCAGCAGCTCAAATTAATCGTTATTTCGCGCTATTTATCTTTTTCTTTGGTATTGGTGGAAATATTCTCAACATTTTAGTTTTAGGACAACGAAATTTTCGATCAAATCCATGTGCTTTATTTTTTCTTGTTTCATCTATTGCAAACATCATTAGTATACTTGCAGGTTTAACAAGTCGAATGTTATCTGGATGGACAATTGATCTGACAAATACAATAACATGGCTTTGTATATTTCGTACTTTTGTTGCATGGGTATCAAGAACATTCTCTATGTGGATCATTGCATTAGCTTCTCTTGATCGATGGTTATTAACATCAATCAATAACTATCGACGACAAATGAGTACATTAAAAAATGCTTATCGAGCTATGATTATTATATTCATTCTCTCAATATTGGTTTTTATTCAATTATTCTTCTGCTTTGCTGCGAATATTCCAAATACTCCATCAAAATGTTATGGTAAAACTGAAACATGTCGATTAATTACAGATATAACTTATACGTTGATTATCCATGCAATTCCAATCTTTCTTATGTTTTTATTCGGTACAATGACAATATCAAATATTCGCTCCAGACAACAACGAATTCAACCTCAAGAAATTATTTCAACAATGGCAACAAATATTCAAGTTAGACGATTAAAAGGAATCGACCAACATTTACTTCTTGTATTACTAATGCAAGTGATTGTCCTTTCAGTTTTTACAATGCCAGGTGGTATTCAAAGACTCTATTCAACATTTACATTAACATTTTCTAAAAGTCCTCTCCAGCAGGCAATAGAAAATTTAATCTACAATATTGTTGCTCTTTTGACATCTTTGGCAACTGGTGCGTCATTTTATATTTTTACGTTATGTGGTGGAAAACTATATCGAAATGCAGTTCGAGATTTAATTTATACGGTTTTCAGAAAAGTCAAATGTAGATGAGTTAATTTTGTTTTTATTTGTCAAACTGTATTTTGATTCTGTCTTGATGATTGATCAAACGAAAAACAAATACATAAGATGATCTAAAAGTTCTCGAAACATTCTATTTTTTTGTGACCAAATGATGTTCAAAGAAAAGAAGATCGTACTAAATGTTTGAGATGCTCTGCCTGATTCGTTATATTAGGTGTAGACAACATCTGACGCGCACTTTCTCTCTTGGTTATCCTGACAATTAATAATGTACACCGATTCATCATCAACAACAATAAGTCTGTCTGAAAAATATAATTAGTTGAATTCTTTACCTAATCTTTAACAACAAACAATGGGAGATCCATGTCTAGTCCATTTGACACTTTGATGAATAATCGTGACTTCTATTGTAGAGAAAAGCTTTTTTTTATGATGATCCACTGGTTATAAATGTACATTTTCTAATCGTATAAGAAAAAAAGGTCATAAACATATGGAAAACGGTTTTCTTTGATGATGTTTAACTTCACAACTTACGTAGTAGATGATATACATATTATCCCTTCATCAGGTGTCGTTGGTATCTGAGAACCTGGTCAAATACTCGCACTTTCCCCCTTAAGAATATCCGTGTTATGACATGGAGAAAGAATATGAAATAGAAAGTCGTATTGTGGTTGATTCACATATAAATGAATTAGAAGAATTATTTCGACCAAGTGATCTGGTTATTGATAAAGAAAGAACAAATTTGTTTTGTTGTAAGGAATAATAGAAAATGAAGAATGGTACAATTATTCTATTTGGAACGATATTAAACAATATTCTTTGTTTGGAATTAACAATAGATGATGAAGAATCTCTCGACATTACTGATATTGAAAAATATGAAGTGCAACGTTATAGAAGTGGGAGATATATTATAAGAAGAGCTACTGTAGTATGTGAAAATAAACAAAGTAAACTTAACAATCGATTTAACACTTCTCGGTATGTATTCGGCGATTCTGAACATTCAATTTATGTATCATATCATGAAAATCATCGTGTAAATGAAATGGTTGGACGGTGCTACAAAGGCAATTCTTGTAATAGAAAATGAAAACACTGATCAATTGAGCGAATTTACGAGTTTGTCTTTTGATAATAATTAATATCACTGATAAAAATAATCATCTTGTTCAATTGTTCGATATTCATCAAACAGAATGAGAAATATTGAAAAGAGAAGAGTTACCAAGCAACCATAACAGTAAAAAACACTCGTAAAAAAAAAGAAAAGTTGTATCTAAATAAAAATATTAATTTATGAGTTCTAAAAATTCGAATTATCCATCTATCGAATAATATTTCTAAATGTGATTAACTCGAATAGAATGAGAAATACAAAGTCCGATGTTACGTTTCATTCATTCGTATGTGACAAAGATTCTTCTCATTACTCTATTTGTAATATTTACACAAAACACATTGTTTTCAAGATTGTTTTGTTATTGAATGTATAAGTAAAAGAAACTGATTAGTAAAAAATCTATTGAAATATCCTATTTAACGAAAGAAGATGAATGAGGACAAAGTATCAATAAGCGATAAAAATATAGTTAACGTCACAATTTTTACAGTTAAAGTCTTATTTGAGATTTAATTCGTATGTATACAAATTAAATCAGAATCAAAACACACATACATATATGTGCTTTCCGTTCCTAATAGATTAAAAATTGTTTTTCGAACAAAGTATTATTATTGATTTTCCGAAATGTTCATAGATATAACTTGTCGATTTTTTCGTTTTAAATAACATTTATGAATAATTTTGTAGATCAGAGGAATTATAAGTGTAAGTATAAGACTAAGACCACCATAAAAAGCAATAATTGTACGTAACATATAGAAAATATTAAAACGTTTTGAAATTGTATAAGAACATGTTTGTACATAACATGCATTGAAATAAGATTCAAAAGAAAAGTTTTCAATCCATTTCTCAATAAAAAATTCTTTGAGAATCATATTAATTTTAAAATTATTAATTGGACGAAAACGTGTATGATTAATCATTAATGTAGTGTAACGTATAGAAGAATTAAGTGCATAACTTATTTTATCAAGACATATTTGATCATATAAACATTCTAATGTTGATTCAAGCATTGAATCTAATGGTAAACAACCAGATAACATTCCAGGTATTGACCATAATGATTCATTATTAAGTTTTAAATTCATTGTTTCTACACATATAATTGACGTTACACAATTACATGATGATTGATTATATTCTTTACTTTTCATAAAAATTATTTCTTTATGTTTTGCTTCTCGAATAATTGGATACCAATTGGTACCATATGCTGAAATATAAGCATTACTGGAATATATATTACGAATTAGTTCAAGTACAAAAAGATAATTTGATGATAATAAATTGGATTTAAAATTGAAAAATATATTATCGATTTGTTTTGAAAATACATCAGATTTCATCAGACTGATGGAAAGAAATTGAGAATTTAAAAAAATTGAAAGTTCATTCTGAGCAACATGAATAATTCTTTCGCAAATAATTTGTAATGCTTGAAAGTGTGCAAATGCCATACGTTGAAAAGTAATTGTTTTATTTTCTAAAGTAATTTCATGTGAAAAAGATGAATAAAGCATATTTTTCCATTTACTATGTGAATTAATAAAATCACTTGAACATACTTCATGAAATGATATATTCAAATTAATAAATATATGATAAGGAATAGTTATATTTGTACATGGACAATCAATTAACTGTTCATAATTTTTATAATAATCAAAAGTTAATTTATTCAAAGTAATTACTTTTGTTTGATAAATAAATGCAATATAAATTAAAATAATAATAAGTATGATAATAAAAGTAAAAATATAGACACGTGTCAATCGTCGTTGAGTATGTAATTCTTCTTCAGGTGGATGTGATTTGTTAACATTCTCAAATACATTTAATTCAGTCATAATTCTATACATTTTTTTATATAATTTTATTATTAATGGTTTAATGGGAAAACCACCTACATTAATATATATATATATTACAGTTTTTTTATTAAGAAAAAAGTGAATAGAAAAGACTTACGATTTTGTTGAATATTTTCCGAAGTTCTTTCATGATGTGTCTGTTTATAACAACTTGAAAAAATAATAATGGCGATTATAGGTGATAGAAAGCGAAGTAAAGCTGATAGACCACTACATAAACTGATTATAATTGAAATAACCGATGCGATATCGAGTTTTGTTTCAATCATATACGAACATGAATTTGGTTTGCATCGTTCATAATAAGATGTATAATTATATGTTCGATTCCATAATTCTATAAATAATTTCTTGGAAAGTAAAGCAAAAGTAGCATTAATTGGAAAGTTAATCAGTTTTGATAGTGCTTTGACACATCGATTAGAATCGAATTCACAAAATGGACTTTGAAATGTGTTCATAAATGAAGTATTATATAAAGTCTTTATTTGTGATAGAAGTGCAGATTGAACAGGATAATATGATGCATATAAACCATCGAGTAATGTGCCATGAAGAAGATATTGATTTTTACATTCTTTATGAATAAAATTTGAACACGATTGATTGTTAATTGTTATCAGATGTACAGACACATTATTTGATTTATTCTGTACAACATATCGATAATTTGTTTCACTTGGAGTAATTAATTGATTCGCATATGTTGTTTCTTGAATAAGAATTAATGTATCAATATATTGATTCGATGTGATAGATATAAAATCTTCTATATCTGAATCCATACGAAATTTAAATTCTTCAAATGTTAAGAGATTTTTGGTGAGCAATTGTGTTTCACCAAATTCATAAATAGCAGTTTGGATTGTGATTTGTGATAGTTCACAAAATACTTTTAAAGCTTTAAATAAATATCCACCAGTTGAATTAAAGTTATAAGCAATACCATCATTTGTGAGATGATGCGTAAGTCGACCAGCTAAATAGTCTAAAGTAAATTTATACAAACATATTTCATGATATATTGGATTAAATTTGATAAAATCTTTTTTTAATATTGCCATATTTGAACATGGACATTGAAGTGATGATGAAAACGTTTGTTTTTGTAAATTTGATACAGTACTAAATGAAAGATTATCTTTTTCTATTCGTCTCAATTCAACGCTCAACAAAAGATATAGTAGAATAATTATGAGAATCACAATGAAAACTATAATATAAATACGAGTTGACCATCGTTGTCGATGAATATCACGAGGTTCAACATGAATCGCCGATTTAAAAAGATTTAATTCACGTGTGAATTGTTTGAATTTTTGCAACCAATTCATTGTGTTGTTTGTCCTTGGTGTTTTCCGACGACGCAGAACTATGAATGCAATTATTTTCGGAATAATAAAACGAAGAACAGTCGCTAATCCACTATATAGTCCAAGTATAGTACTCATACTGTATATAATACGCTCCTCAATTGTATAAACACACGATTTTGGTGTACACAAATTGAAATATAATTCATAGTTTATTTGATCATTCCATTCTTCGATAAAACTTCCATTTACGATTCTTTTGAGAGTAGTAGATTTAGGAGGAAATCGAGTTGGATTGCTGATATTTAGACATTTAAAATTATGTACTGAGTTTCTAAAGTACAATAAAATTCTATTAATTGCTGTTTGATTATAAAAACTTTTGAGTGTTGAATGAAAAAGTGAATCCATAGGCAAACAACCAGTATACCATCCATCTACAATATCAAGATACGCATAGTGGTTTTGTGAAGTATTTGTGCTCCAATGTTTATCACCAAGAAAGCCTGCATATGCTTTTACTCCTGGATCTGCAGAACAATAGCGACAATGACCATTCACTTCATTTATACAGGCACGACCAAGATCAGGATTAAAAGACCAATTTTCATTATAATTGTTGAGTTCCAGTGGATAATCAATGCGAGGAGCCGATTGAAGTGAATTAGCAAAGGAAATATTGTGAACAAATTCGAGCATTTGACTAATTTTATTGAGTGTCTTTATTTTCAAGGCATCAATATGTGCTTTCATATGAATATCAAACTCATCTTTTTCCAGGAGAAGAACGGTAATAAAATGATTATTATTAAGTGATTGAAGACTGGTATTGATCGCTTGGATACTCTGTTGACAAAGATTTCTTAAAAATCGAAATTGTAAACTGGCAGTCAATCGAAAATCTACGATAAAATAAAAATGTGTTGTCGTTGAATTGTATAAATAATCGATCCATTGTTGTGTAACAAAATCGCTTGAACATATTTGATGATATCGAGGAGCGAAATGTACAAATTGTTCATAAGGAATCGATATATTTGAACAACGACAATTTATTGATGGATATTTTCTTTGTAATTCGTTATACAAACTTAAAGTAGGATATTGTATTTCGATATCTTGAGGAACACCTTTAACTAAACTATAAATACTTAGAATACATAATGTTACTGTAAAAATAATAATATAAACACGCGTTGACCAATATTGAATATGTAGACTTTCATCACTTGTATCATTCGTTTCAAATAAATTGATTTTTGATAACCAATGAACAAATCGTATCTTTTTTATCCAATCACTTAAAGAAGTGTTAATCACCTGATTTCTTTGTGCCATTCAACCTATAGTCACATACTCTACTTACACAAATAATTAACCATTCTACTCATTATTCTTCTTCAATGTTAGAATAGCGATAATGTTTAAAACAATCTTGCCTACCCTTTTTATTATTATTATCAACAATGCGTTAGATATGTAGTCCCTGATTTTCCTTTATTTTCCATAGAAATCATACTTTCATTTTTCTCCTTTCTTTCCGTTCTAATTATTTGTCTCATATGCTCAATTTATAGATAAGAGTACATGAAAATGAATGAGGTCATAACCTACTTTTTCTTATAAATAGAAATGTTTGATAATAGATTAAATCATTTTCAAAATCTACACATTGAGTATCAACTATCATTTATCTTATGTCAGTAAGTAAAGATGACAATTCTTCACATGATTTATTCATAATATGTATTATCAAGATTTCTATTCATCCATTAAACGAAGATCAACATACTATCAATTTGATAGGAGGTTTGTCAAAATTTGACAGAATGTTAGTATTAAATTATTGTTGGTATTATGATTTTGAATGAATAATTCTTTGATTTAAGACGACATTTTTTTGCAACAAGAATCGCATTATCAGTTTTTGGAAGTTTCGTTGTTGGATGTATTCTGACTACAAGCATTATGTTTCCTATTGTTTCTAAACCTTTTCAATTACAAACGAATTTATCCGGTATAAGTTAGAAAAGATAAGTATTATATTAATGAATTTTCTATTGAATATTTAGAAATAATAACAACAACAGCAAATACGATTGTTTGTGTATTGCCACAACGTAAGTATATTTTGATAATTATTCAGAAAACTAATTTTTTGTTGATTTTTTTAGGCCCAATATGCCGAACATTGTCATTTGCTCCATTTAATTCAAACAAATTCAATGAAGGAATAAGAATAGTTGTCGCTGGAGATTTCAATCATGATAATCGGACAGATATTGTTGTTAATTCGGATGAAAGTATTGTTGTATTACATGGTTATGGAAGTGGAAGTTTCTCTAGGCCAACAGTTTTTTCAACTGATACACCATCTGTTTTGATGAATGTTGCTGATTTAAATAACGATAAATATTTAGATATTATCACCAGCAGCAATTTCAACGATGTACGCATACTACTTGGTCATAGTGCTGGGTTCTCAAACTCAACGAGTATGTCAATTACAGGATCTCCAAATGGAATGATTACTGTTGATATTAATCATGATAACTATATGGATATTATTGTATTAACAGATCTTATTTGTGATGTATTCCTCGGTATGGGTAATGGACGTTTTTCAAAAAAAATGTCTTTTATAACTGAACCACATTCAATGGGATTAGGTGTCGGTGATTTTGATAATGATGGTAATATTGATATTGCTGTAACTCTTGTGAACAAAAATATTTTGAAAATTTTTCTTGGATATGGAAATGGTACGTTTCAAACAGCAATTTCTTCAATAGTTCAATATGTACCATTACACATTGCTGCTGCAGATTTTGATGGCAATGAATATTTAGATGTCGTAATAGCTAGTTGTCACACTAGTCAGCTGTACTTTTTACGGGGATTTGGAAATGGTAGTTTTGGTGAACAAAAGACTTTCGAAACTCCTGGTTGTCCACAATTCATAGTTATTGATGATCTCAATAATGACAAACACTTAGATGTGATTGTTTCCAATAGAGATCGCCATAGTTTTAGTGTGTTTCTTGGATTTGGTAATTTAACATTTGAATCACAAATGCTTTTTCGTACAGGTGAAGGGCCACATGGTATAACTGTTGCTGATTTCAATCGTGACGATCGATTGGATGTTGCCGTTGCTAGTCAAACGAGCGGAACCATTGATATCTTTCTCAATACATGTTAATATGCTATCGGTTTTTATTCAAATATCTTTTTCAATTATCATTTTTCCTGCTTACAACTAGTTTGCTACTTATTTTAGAAATAAAATTATATAGAGTCCGAATTTCTCATCATATGTAACTTGTCATCTTTCCCGTTATCCCCTTTTCTGAAAGAAAGGGTCATACAGCGGTTGAATTCTATGGGCTCACAAAGTTTAAAGTTTACCTGTCTGTCCTATCCAATCAGAAAGCAGCATTTCTTCAATCATTGATCTTTATCGATAGCAACCACAGACTGAGTACTAGTAAGGTAACCGTGGTCGAGGAAATCGAATCCGCTGTTAGTTTCTCCTTTCTCTTTCTAAAACAGATATGTTTCTGGATATGATGTGTGCGAAGATAGCAGTTTAGGGTCCTGCACCAAACGATTTAGCATATTTTACATTATCGCATTTGCCATTTAAGAACTCAGACAAAATAGTATCTATATAATATTATATTTGCCTCATGAACTACGATACGTAAGGTCTTTCGATAGAATTTCACGGGAAATAGATCTCCCAAAGTTATACTCCCCAGGTTATTATGGCACGGTCGGTTCCGGCCGGAAGTTCAAACGTAGGTTCCAGCCATTTCCCGACCGTTTCCTGCAAACTTCGAGCTGGAAACGGCGAAAACTGTGCCGGAATCGAGAAGAGCTGTACCGGAACCGACTCAGATTTCAACGGATCCAGTCGCCGGAATGATCGACCTGGGATCGTCAGTGTAATTTGATCTTATTAACTATAGAGACAACGGTCAGGTGCTAGCAGCCCAGATTAACTTCAGAGTATACATTTGGAACAAGTTTATCATACTTGAGGAAAGATTTTTAGAAGAGATTTTATGAATGTTCCTTCATGAAAATATTCAAAAGAGTATCATTTTCCTGAAAGTAGAGAAAATAATCAATTGTTAACTAAAAAATACAGACTAACATGCGAACTTAGCAAGTCGACGATTATACATTGTTCTTTTGTGGGCAACTTAGTAAAGTGTTCAGAAAAACAGAGTATTAAGATTAATGTATAGCTGTGAGTAAGTGGCCGGGGGATGACCTACGAATGACTAATCATTAAGGGATGGAGCTTTAGTAAACATAGCTAGTACTTGAAAACTATTCTCTGACAATCGGGTAATTGGTTTGGTTAATGAAAACAGAAGAATCTTTGCCTTGTATTGAGTCTCGTGTGGGACACAATGCCATGGTCTAGCTGAGATCCAGTAGTAACTGCAGTGTCCTATTTGTTTTTCGATGTATCTGAATATGTTCAGCAGTAGAGCAATTCTTTGAGAAAAGGGTCGGCGAATTCATAGGATGAGTGTTATTTGTCAATGATATTGCTTTTGCTAAAATTTATCTCGATGTGTCTTTCCCCCTCGACTGTAAGGAGAGTCGTATGGAAAAAAAAGGTTGTCTGTTTGTGTCAGGATCAAAGGTCAAAAAAGCATTTTTTTCTAAAATCATCCAGCACATTGAAAACTTCTAGTGTGTTGAGACTAGAACGAGTGCGGATGAAGGGTGAAGGGAGAGCGGGTGAGCTCATTGGTGGGTGTCTTCGATGATTCTATGGGTGGATGTGTGGACGTGGGTGATTGGAATCGGTGATCGGCAGCTCTGTCTCCTGAGTTGAGGATTCTAGTTAGGTTTAGTGTTTAGTTCGTGTTAATTTGTTTATGATGGAATATGAAATGGATGTGGGGTTGGGTTAGAATGGCTAGGGTGTTCCAACTTTTATTCAACTGTAATTGATATTAGAGGTAATAAAAGAAGAACAGATAATCATATGTATTACCGTAACTAAATGCAGTGAAAGCGAAAAAATAGAGATATCAAAAGGTACATTAGCTAAATTCACATGTGTCAAATGTAATCCTAATCCATTGATTTAAGCCTATTAAATCTATGGAAGTTTTGCAAGGGCAAAAAAATAAAACTTTTGCGAGTATTAATGATTATTATTGGTGTTCGTAGTTAATTTAGATTAATGCTAAAAATATTCTTTTGTACTGGAGTGTTTATTCCTGTTGGATTCATAAATCGGCACTAGGACAATTCGTCGCCATGGTGATATTACTAATTGATAGCGTTACATATGTATTTCAACTAATAGAAAAGTACATTGTCATCAACAATCTCGTTAGTGACACTACGTGGAATCTAATAATCTACTGGTATTGGGAACAAAAAATATGGGTTATTTCAAAACGTAAAGCACAATGTTTCGCAAATACCCAAGTATGAAATACAGAACTTATATACCGAAAGTACTAAATCTTTTAACAACGAGCATTACGGAGCTACCCATACGACACAAATTGAATCCTGTTTACACATAGGTCAGTCAATAAGTTCTAATAATCTTCACAAGTAACGCTCGTCTATCGACTCGCTCAGCTCTTTCTCGTAGAAATGGTGCTTTCAGATATTACACTTTAAAGCTATTATTGTGTACATTAATTTATTTTTAGTGTAGATTAGATATTTTCACGAAAGTAGTAATAGATATTTATACCAAATATCAAATTGAGAATCAGGCATTCTAAATAAGTGTCAATACAATTAAGTAGATTATGAGTTATTACATGAAAAAAGAAAA